ATCATAAAAAAATATCATAAAATGTTTCATGAAAATTCTCTACTATTGGACTATATATACAATAAAATACCACACACAAATCAAATGATAAAAAACCTTCTTGAAGTATTTCATAATTTTTTTAAATGATCCTTAACATTACTCATTTGGATTGGATGAAAGCTTATTTGGATTAAAGAAAAAAATTACAATTATGTATAACATTATTTAATGACAAAAACAGAAAATAAAAATTACAAAAGAAAAAACTTTAACATGAAGAACAACTTCTTTATTAAAAAAACATACAATACAATTATGAGATCCAATGTCGAAACAAAGTACAAGCACTTCCCCCAAACCCCCTGGCATTGACATACTTGCACATGATTATTGCAAACAATAAATAAAAAATCAAAATAAAAAGAAACTACTTATTCAATAAATAAAAAATCAAAATAAAAACAAACTACTTATTTCGGAAATTGCCTGTAAGATGAAAATTGGCACACACACTATTATTTGGTTGGTTTGCTGGCTCTTAGATTGCTATTCCAAAGGGGATTGGTTGGTTTGTTGGCGTACGGCCCAGTTTGTTTTGGGTACAAAGGGGTGGATTGGATTAGGATAGCGGTGAAATTCATTTATTATTGTGCATGTTTGTAGATTTAGAGAAGAGATTGAGGTGGAGAAGGGGATTAGGTTAGACTTTGGAAGGGAGATTGGAATGGAAGAGGTGAATGTGGTATTAAAAAAATAATTTGCCGAACTAGAAATTGTTTATTTTTTATTTTTATTTTTTACATGTTGGGCATTTTTTTTTTTTTGAACATTAATGTTTAAGTTTTTGTTTCTTTTTTGTCAAGTAAAAATTATCGTTTTATTTTTTTTGGAAATTTTTTATTTTTTAAATTATTTACATGTTGGACCTTTTTTTAACATTAATGTTTAATATTTTTATACTTTTTTATTTATTTTATTATTTTATATTTATTTTATATAAAAATAATTTAACAATCCTTACACTAACAGCTATCATTAAAATAAACATAATTTTACTTAATTCTCTCATTTTAAATTCTTTCATTACCAATCCCCTCACTATAATTCTCTCATATTTTAACTCTGAAAACAAACTATACTTTTGTTACTCCCAAAGGATTGGTAGTCCCCACATAGTAGTAGGATTAGGATGCCTTGAATGGAGGTGGGTTTGAAAAACAGTAATGCTAGGGATCATGAAAAATATATCATGAATATTATCATGAAAGATTCTCAACCTTTGGATTACTCATACAATAAAACACCACACACTAATCAAGACTAATCAAGGGATGAAAAATCTTCATGATGTATTTCATGATATATTTTTCATGATCCCTAACATTACTCGTTGGGTAATCGGCCGTTCTGTGGGCCACGATAAGAAAGGCTGAGTAACAGGGCCTTGTAGTTAGTTTGGTCCAAAAAGAGCTTTGCAGCTAGCTCAGCCACCTCGGTCGGAGTGGTAATTATCTCGGCCACAGTGTGTTGGACCGAGGTGTTATGGCTTTTTGAGGCTGACCTTGCTATGGTTAGCGCGGTCGGAGCTTGCTGTATTTAGCTCGGTCTTTAATGGATACAACTGAGGTATTGGTTGTAACGCCCTCAAAATAAACCCATAAATCATACATTCATTACATCCATAAACTTAAGAGAATAAAACATAATGCCATTCATCAGAGTATTCTTACAAAAGATATTCCATGTTGACAACAAAAGTAAATGCCCTATAGGTTTACAACTTTCCAAGTCAACACTTGGGTTCAACAAAAGTAGAGTCCTGACTGTTTACACAAAAAAAACCCATGGCTTGATATACATGTAATATACAAAAGAGACAACAAAAAGAGCTATCAGCCTCAAGCCTCCCAAGTTACTTCCTTGGAGGTGGCATATCACCTGAACCTGAAAATGATGTCCCATATAGGGTGAGCCAACGCCCAGTAGAGATATGCTAAACATAATATGAGCAATAACTAAAACATTAGCATTTGATAAATGTTTAACCAATATAAACCAACATACAGCACTACCCAATTTCATAACAGGTATGTCCATGTTTCATTCCATTTTTCTTTTACTTAACAACTTCAATTTATAAACATGGCTCAGAACTTGGCCAAACAATTCCCATGAGACTACGGCTCATGTTAAAAACCTTTCCAATACCAACAATTTAAATGAGATTATAACACATAATAAAATACTTCCATAATTCACAATAGATACACATATTTGCTGTATCAATGTCATATTAAAACACTTTCATACTTCATAGATAATACACAGATTTGCTGTATCAATGGAGTCCATCCCCTATCTCCTCCCAAATAACATCCGGTTTAGGAGTCCATCCCTTATCTTCCCCTAAACTGTAGAGTACATCCCCTATCTCCTCCCACACAAAACAATATATATAAACAATTATCATATACACGATCAATCAATACACAGATTCGATGTATTATTCCAATCGTCATATTCAATGACATATTCAACGTGATTAGTTTCAGTTTTCCCTAATCAACATACAGTGTCTACAACAATCACGACTATCCTCCACCGATGGCCCAAAGCAATTATGTCTAAACAGATAATAAATGCATCAACAGATAAATTATCAATATTTTCAAAAGTGAGTGATTTATCAATCCAACTCCACCATCCTTTCTCATAACTTCCCAATTTCACTATTTCACAATGAAAGTCATTAATTACACTAATGACCCAATAAAACCCAAATATGGCATTTTTCCCCATTTCTCCCAATATTGACCCAAAAGTCCAAATATTATCAATAGACCTCAATAACTTCATTTTGAGGCTCAAATACACATATATAGTTCAATGGGACAAAAACCCTCTTTTTACATTTTAAGGTTTGAAACCCTAACTCCCAAACTTTCCCAACTACAACATTACATCAAAATGACTACAAGTTTATGTCAAAGACCATAAATATGAGTAGTTATCCCTACCTCAAATTCGGAGCCCAAAAGAGAAGGTGAAGAAAATCGAAAGTACTCCAAATCCCAAGATTTTCGGATTGATAGGTAGCCCAAGCCAAGCTCTACACTTTTTCCAAAGGAACTAAGGTAGAAGATCACTCAAACTAGATCAAACCTTAGAGAGAATGTGAAATGTAGTGAGAAAAGCTCTCAAAGTAGGTTTTGAAAAGTAAGAGAGAGAGTGAGAGTTGAAAAAGTGATCTAAAATGACCCAACTACCAACTAATATACGTATGACCCGCTCGAGCGGAGAATAGGGCGCTCGAGCGTCAAACACAAAAACTGGACCCGCTCGAGCGCAAGGATACCCGCTCGAGCGCCAAGACATAACTACAAAACTCCACCCGCTCGAGCACAAAAGAACACCCGCTCGAGCGTAGATTACACTCTTCCAGTATTTTTACAGACATCGAACACCCGCTCGAGCGCCAAGGATACCTGCTCGAGCGCGACCCGCTCGAGCGTAAAGAAATTCGCTCGAGTGTGAAAAACCCATCTGCAGTATTTTTGCAGACGGACAAACTACTAAAGGTATGCAAACTCCGCTCGAGCGCAAGAAGACCCGCTCGAGCGGATCACTAAAAATCTGGGCAACAAGAGTTGGGACAAAAGCTCAACCAACCTGTTCGAAACACGCCCAAGACAATTCTGAACTCGAATACAAAGAGTTAAAGGACGGAAATGAAATACAGACAACAACAACTATCAACAGAACCGAGTCCAGAATACAGTAAACATGAGAGGAAAACCGGGATCGCTATATTGGTGAACAAAGGCCGAGCTATGAGTTGCATGTGAAGGTGCTGGTTTGAGTATGACAAAGAAGTATTGTTAGCCCGGTCGTTTTGTCATACTACCGAGGTAAAACCATCTCACTTGGTTTAAGCAGTGAGGGGGGGTGTTGAAGGATAAGCATTATCTTTCAGGAGTGTGATTCCTAGGAGGACTTTGCATGGAGAAATAAGAGTCCTACTAGGATTGTGCCACGCAAAACCTATAAAAGCTCATAACATCACCTATGGAGAGGTAACACAACTTTGATTCTTGAATACACAGAGTTTTTGTCCATTTGTCTATTTTGCTGACTTAGATATCGGAAGCACACCCACCGACTAGCTCACGTTTGTGTTTTCAGGGAGTAAAGCGACGACGTTTGGAGGAGCGCAGACTTGATCAACAGGATTATACGAGAATATTATTTCTTGCTCGTACAATTGGCGCCGTCTGTGGGAATTTCACAAAGAGCAAAACTTCTTGATCAAGTTTTCCTCTCTAGTTGAAAGCAATGGCGCACAATGAAGACTTGCCGCAATCTGCTATTGATGGGCAAACACCGGAAGGGGGTAGGAGATGTGAAGGTTTACCTTCTATCCCACCCATGGCAAAATTGGATCTCCAGCGAAGGAATCCGCGGAGAGAAGCGAGAGAAAGATGGGGCTCAAGTCCACACCGCTCTCAAAGCCCTGATAGATAGAGACGGAAGATGGATCCTCAAGTTCTCGAAGATCGCATAAGGGAGCATGACAAAATAATAAGAAGAATGGCGGTTGACATAGAGTCTATGAAGAGCCAGATAAAAGGCAAAGGGATGGTAGCAAAAGAGGGGCGCAAAGGCAACACACACTCTTGCCACTCAGAAGATCGTGACAGACAAGTCACACCATCACAAGCTAAAAGTAGAAGCCTTAGGTCAGGCGATACACAGTCAAAGACTTCCAGGACACGCTACTCCAGGCCTGAGAGAATGAGGACTGAAAAGGCTCGAAGGAGAGAAGACACTCAGGCTCGCGACCCCCGCAGAGTCTCCGCACTACAACGATTGGCTCCTAGAACACATGGGAGTGTCGAGGTTGGAATTCCAGAGCCACGCCTTGCCTATGAACCAGCAGACAAAGCATTAGCAAGGTTGCATACACTAGCCTAATCTAAGGAGAAAGGGAAAAAAGTTCACTCTTTTTTTTTTTTTTTTCGTCACTCATTAGAACCTACACTAGCCTAATCTAAGGAGAAAGGGAAAAAAGATCAGCCCCAACACCACATGAACCTCGAACCCACAATGTCCACTATAGGGATTGTAGACCATACCACTGTGGCACAAAGCCATGGGTTAAATCCACACTAGATTCTCATAAATTTGCCTATCTTTTATTTATTTATTTATTTTATTTTATTAAGATTAACCCCTTGACCCCACTTTTGGTGAGACCAAGGTAAAAACACCCAATAACCATGCGATAAATTTGCCTATCTATGTTGAACATGTATTGGACATGTAACTGACACCAACACAACACTACATTCGAAAAGATATCCTCTTTTATTTTAGTACATCACTGTGCTCCATAGCAGAATATGAAATACAATTGCACCTTATCAAAGTTCTTGTATCAGTATTATTCAAAACTATCTAGCCCAATATAACCTACAAAAATATATGTATAACAAAGCCACATACATTTTTACCATTTTTCCCAATCCAAAATAAAAAAAAATAATCATGTAGCTTTAGAGTTTTGAGTGATCTCCCCGCAGGGGCTTGTGGGTCTTTTAGCTATTTAACATACATAAATGCAACAAAAGCATATTGAATTCTGAAGCTGTAACAAGTCAAAAGAAGACAGTTGCTAAATGCAGAGAGAGAGAGAGAGAGGGAGAGAGAGATGCATAGCAAAAAGGCATGTGGCTCATGTAGTTTGCTAGCAAGCAATAGAAGTGAAGTTGTTAATGATACCTCTTTGAAGGAATGTACATCACTTCCCCATAGCCAAGCATCACAACCTGCATCTCTGGCACCCCATATATCGTTTCTACGATCATCCCCCACATGAACAGCATCCTCAGGCTTTACTCCCAACCACTCACAAGCTTTTATAAATATGGTGGGATTTGGCTTCTCTGCTGCAACCTGTTCATGGGGAAAGAGAGAAATTGAACAATGCCATAGGACGAATGAAAGTAAAAAATAAATAGATCAATACTTACTTCAGTCGACACTGCCACAGCATCAAACCAGTAATCACAATTCAGAGCCCACAAAACAGGACTCAATCGAGTGTCAAAGTTTGACACAACAGCCAATTTTACACCTGCATTCCTTAGGGCCTTAAATACTTTTTCCGCATCAGGATCACAGAGGTGCCATGCCTTTGGATAGAAACAAATGAAAATTAAATTAAAATTAAGATGTTAAAGTAAGTAGTATAAGTGTCAATTAACGATGTTAACCCATCGTTAACATATCTGCAATTTAGTAAACACACTTTTATAAATTGTTATCGCCTATTAGATGAAAATAATATTTTGCAAAATACAAATGGAGAAAACTTTTACCTTCGTAGAAAAGGGGGATGAAACTTTTTTACTACTTGTATTATTGTATACTATTAAGGGGAACAATATCTAAAATGTCCTGAGAGTTGAACAGACAAAATGCCCTAGAAATTTCAATTAGAAAGTCTAGAAATAGCATCTTATATATCTTCA